ATACCATTATACAAACAACTTAAACAAGCTATTCTACTTAAAACAACTCTTAATAAATCTAATTTTATACAAATCTACAATTCATATATTAACAAATATTCAAATAATACTATACTATCATCCTTATGCCCAACATCAACTAATTTCAATTCAAACTCTACTATTTATTCCAATTCTTATACTACTGAAATCAAAACTCTTAAAACACAAATCTCTAAAAAAAAACAAGAAAATACTTTAAAAGAAATTCAAAACAATCTAAAAGAAAGAAATAATAACTTCTATAAAAATCCCAAAATATTCTTCTGTAATGTCTTAAAAAAATATAATAATAGCATTAATTTAGATCAACTACTATCTAACAATACACTTATTATTCAATCATCTGAAATTAAGCAAACTCTACAATTTCATTTTCAAGACTACTTCAAGAAACAATCTTATACATCAATTCAAGAAAACACAAAATTCTATAAACTTTATAAACCTCAATCAGAAAATAAACCCTATTTTGTTTATCTATTTTTAGAAATTTTATAGAAAATAGAACAAAATTATATATGACCTCCCAAATCAAAAAGTAGCAGGTCCATCAGAAACAAATTATAAATATTTAAAATGCCTAAATTCAAAAGCTCAAAATATTATTTAACTTTTTTTAACTAAATATCTGTTATTACAACAAGTACCAACAATATGAAAAATATTTAACATTTTTTTAATTTTAAAAAAATCCTTATAGGATTTCACTTTAGATCATGTCAGGCCAATATCACTTATTGAACTAATTAAAAAATGGCTTACAAAAATTTTTACAACTTGCCTTAACCAAATTATTATTCAACATCAACTTTTAAGTAATCTTAACTTTTAGCAACTAAAAACAGCTCAACCTACATTCCTATACAAATTTTACTTAATACAATTGAACATTACAAATCTAACAACAAAGAGACTTAAATACTTTTCCAAGATATATCTAAAGCCTTTAACAAAATTAATATTAAATGTTTATTAGATGCTTGTAAATGTATAAGTATTCTTCAATCAGGTTTAAATTTTATTGAATTTCTTTATCAAGATAGAAAAGCCAAAGCAATTACAGCTTATAGTCTTACTGACCTGATTACATTATACTCAGGCATAGAGCAAGAAGAAACCTATTCTCCACTACTCTGAAAAATATACTATAATCCTATTCTTAGCTATATAAATTCAAAATATAACTCCAAACTTCTCAAAATTTCATTACAATCTCCTTTAGAAACAGTCTTTACAACTCTACAAACTTATATAACAATATCACTTCTTGCTTTTATAGATGATACAGTTTGGCACTGTGAATCTAAAAATGATCTTCAAAATATCTTAAATGATATTTCAGAACTCTACTAACTAAATAATATTCAAGTAAATGCATCTAAATCTGATTTAATTTATATTACATCTAATAAAAAAATACTACCTAATACCAATTCAGAATTAATACCTATAATTTTCAACAACTAACCAATTACATCTCATAAATCAAATAAAACAATCAGATATCTAAAAATCTTTTTGGATAAAAAAAGTTCAACTAAACCTACACTAGAAAAAATTTTTAGTAAAACAACTCAATTTATTCATACTATTCAATATAAAAAGCTTCTTCTTATACAAATATCTTAATTTGTCAATACTATCTTATTATTATTATTAGAATATTTACTTCAAATCTGTTTTTCTCTTCAAATCAAACTGAAACAATTATCAAGTCTCTTAACAAAATGTACAAAACATATGCTTCATCTGTTTGCAAATACAAACAATAATATACTAACTAACTTACAACTGCTCAATATTTCAGACTTATGTTACAAGTTAGCAGTAGTAACATAGAAAGATGTTTTAATACTAATACAATTCTAAACCAAATTTCTATATACTATGTTAAGGAATGGCTCTCTAAGATATAAAAACCACTTTAACTTAGAATACAGTTATAGAAAACTGCAAGAAAACATAAACTTTACTATAATATTCCAGCTTGCTCATTTATATAAAAATAACATTTCACTTAACAACTCTTATCTCAATCAACTCCAAGTCTTAAAAACAATAAAATTTTTTTTCTTGAACAAGTACTTACTGCCAACAATTACAACCTACTTTCTTGAAAAAACATATATTTTAGGACTCACAAATCCTCTTGATGTCTATTTCAAATTAGTTCAAATACTTACAAACAAGATTTCTTTCTCTCTTATCTTATACATATAGCCCAATCTTCAAATTCAACAAATTAATCTATTTTTAAACACACTTAATCTTATTATACTTCAATCTAATAATCCTAAAAATATATAAATACTATATACCTTTTCTACAAATTAGTATATAGGCAAAATAACAAATATATTAAATTTCTTAATACTCTTTCAAAAATACCAAATTATAAACTTAACAACTAATACAATCAATATTTTTTCAATACTTACAATATTTCAAATAAACTATAAACAAACTATCAATTTAAAATACAAAATACAAAAAAGAAAACAACATTTTGAACTCAATATAAATAACTAAGAAATACAAGCACTTCAAAACATTTATGCAGAGTTATATAAACCACTTTACAATCACTATCATTCTTTTTACTATTCTTCTTAGAAATTATTCTAATTCAAAATACAATACCAAATCCTACATATCAAAACTAACTTATAAACCTACATTAAAAAATATCACTTTTGAATTCAAATAATCTACACTTTTATAAAAATGCCTCAATACTTAATTTACAAACAGATAATATATCTACTGGCATCATCTGAATTCTTAAAAATGATATCTAAATTAAATTTAATGCTTCTATAACTCACATACCAAATTCTATATATGCAGAATTAGCAACACTTATTTTCTTATTCCTTATTTTACCTGCCAATTATCAAATTCATATTCATCTTGACAGCCTATTGATCATTCAAACTTTTACCAACTCTATATCTTATAACTATAACTCACAAATCAAACAAAATAATTAGAATATTATATATATTTTAAATTTTTTAGTAAAACACAAAAATATAAATTATCCTACACACAAAGTCAAATTACATTCAAACAATATTCTATATAATATAGTTGGCACTCTTGCCAAACAGGGTGCTAACAAAACCAAACTTAAACTTAACCTTGAGCACTTTTACTTACCTACTTTCTTTACTTGAAACCAAATACCAATTACATATAAACTATATAAATTCTATAAGAACTTACTCTTAATCTAAACATTTAACAAACTTTTTCAACTAAAATTATTACAAAATCTTTCAACTATAAATATCCTACTATTAACTAAAATTATCAACTCTTAAAATTCAAATCTTAAACTATATTCTATTAGAAACAAAACACTTCTTAACAATTTACCAACAATGTTCAATTTAAATATTCACTGTTCTCTTTTTTATTTAACTCCAAACTGCTTATATTGCAATTAATATGCAAATACTGAATACTTACTTCTATGTTCACTTTACCTTTACAACCCCAAAGACATTTTTATCAATGAGATTACCAATACTCTAAATTTATTAAACCTTCTAAAAACTTTTCCAAATACAATATTACAAATTCTTTATTCACAAAACCTCTATTCTAACTTCAGCATATATAATACAACTCTTTTACTTATACAAGGAACAATAACTCTTAACCAACATATGCAACTGCAACTAATTCTAAAAAAACCAACTAACAATTTTTTCATTTCTCTATCTAACTTTCTACTCAAATAGTTTAACTCTTCTATCTAACAAACTCATAATATTAAACATCATGAATAGGAATCAGTATGAGGAATCTTTGCTTTTACTAAAAAGAAAACCAACATCCACTTACCTATCTCTCAATCTTCAAATCTTAATAACACTACTTTTATATTTAATACTAATATAGATATCTTTATTTCTAAAATCTTGTCTCAAAATTTTAATATATATATTTGTTTTTATTAATTAAACTATCCTTAAAGGTTTTTCTTTTATTTTTTTTTGTAGTTAATAATTAATAGAAGTTAATTTAACTATTAACAAAAAATAAAAGAATAATATTACATTAGATGTCATTAATATATAGCAACAATAGTGTAGTTTAGGAATAATATTTAGATATACATTTATATCTAATTAATATATTCATGTATTTTCATTTTTCCTACTTAATATTATATAAATAAATAAATAAATAAAAAAAACCTATTTTGTAAAATATAACTTATATATATATATAAATAATTTTAAATAATTAATTTGAATTTTAAAAATACAATATTCAGAAAGAAAAACAGCACTTTCTGGAATACTTATTTTAGAATACAACTATATAAAGAACTAACTAAGAATATACCAAAAACAAATTATTTAAAATATATTAAACCTTTAAGTAATATTAGTAATCATGCATATAGAAATAGAACCAAAAGGGCAGCTAAAAATTTATTCAATGAATTTAAAAATGAAAAAAAAATAAAATTTGGTATTCTAAAAATAGTTCTAAACTTAAAGAAATAGTTTTAGAAGCTAATAAGCAATTATAGATAGTAAAGTTTAATGAAAATTAACAGTTAGAAAAAAAAGACACAAAAAATAATTCAGACTATAAATCAGTTTAAAATTTCATGAAATAGATATAGAATGCTAACAGACACTTTACAAAATCTACCAAAGGAATGGTTAATTAGTAAAAAAAGACATAATATTGATAAAATAATGCATAAGCATATTCTAATATTAGTATATAATATAAAAACATATACACAAAGCAATGACACTGACAGTAACTTTGACAGTGCTGATAGTGACTCTAACAGTATATCAGATATTGAAGAATTATATTAGAAAAGAGTAGCTATTATAACATATCTTCAATTCTTAAATTTCTTATACCAAAACTTGTAAAAAATAAAGTTCTTAATTATGAAGCCTTTACAATATATCTGCAAATCTTAAATGACAAAAGAAACATTAAGAGAAAAATCAAACAAGTGATGTTAACATTAGCTATTTTAAATGATCAAAAAATCTTTCAAAACCAAAAAGTCACTATTCAATTTTTTTATTTTTTAGAGCAGAAAAATATATTTCCCTTAAGGCTGCTTTAGATTCAATTCATCATGAACTACAAGAATTGTATAAAAATAGTTTTATTGATAATAATTATCAAAAATGAGATATTGAGATATTTTTTTCATTAGACTGAAAGTTCTTATCTATTATATTAGAATTTAACATAGCTAATATGTTTAACTTCTGCCTATGGTGTTTATGTATGAAAAATTTAATAGGCAATTTAAACCAAAGTTGAACAATAATAAAAAAAATAAATAAAATTAAAAAAAATTTTCAAAGATACTTAGACTATATTCATTCACCTATATTAAATACAATACCAATGACTAATTACATAGTAGATTAACTTCATTTGATGCTGCAAATTACTGACCACTTGTGAGAGTTAGCTTTAAATAATTACAAAAATCATGATAACTTTATAGATGCAATAAAAGAGTTAATATGTAATAAAATGAGTGCTATTGAAATAAAATTTAATTTTTGACAAAATCAAAAAACCAAATTATAGAAATTTACTTCTTTGATGGGCTTAGACAAATTAAAAGTAATAGAAAACTTTAATCTCAGTATAATGTTACTTTCTAAACAATCAACAAAAGTTTAAAAACTTTGGTCAGAATTTTATGAACTCTATAAAATGTAAGGTTATAAAATTTCAGAAGATGTATTCTGTAACAGAGTATATGAATAGTTAAATATGTTTTTAACTCAGTCACAAAAGATTTCTGATATGATTATTAAAGGTTTATATATACCAAGTGATATAACTTTTTATATGCATGTTTTTATATATTATGTTTCAGAATTTCTTAACATTCATTCATATTGGAAACTTAGTTCATTTTCTTGTCAACCTATTGAGAAAAAAAATTATCAACATGTATTATTTTTTTTCAAAAACTTTAAAAGATGATGAGAAAAAGCATTTGCAAAAACTAGCTATATTGGAAATATTAGAAATAAAAAAAAGAGCACTATATTTTTGGCAGTATAGTAAAACATTAGCATTACTTAAACATCAAAAACTTAATATTAGTCTTGACAAAAATCAAAAACTTACCAAAGTTTAGAACTACATATTATTGCAATCAGTATTAAATTTAATATTAGTGATCTCTGAGAATTAATCAATTTTTAAGAAAATTGTTATTTAAAAAATATTCTTTATTTGACAATTTAAACTTTTTTACATAATATTAAAAATTTTTAGCAAACATTAAAAGGCTTTTTTAAAACATATAGTAAAAGCATACTTGGATTTAAAAACTAATTGCAATAAGAATATAAAAGCATAAATAGCCAATAAAGAATTAAAATGCTAATTATTTAGATACTAGTATTTTAAAAACTTTTTTATATATTATCTTTAAAATAATAACAGTATCATATTTCAATATTAATTCAATGTTTATTTTTTTATTCTAAGTTACAAAACTCTATTAATATTATATAGTTTGAGTCTTTATATATAGTAGCCAGAATTGAATATATACTTTAACTAAAGCAAATTGATACCTTTTATTAGATTAGGATATATTCAAGTGAAACAAAGTTAGATAATTCAACTTATTAAAAGACCTAATATAATTATATTTCTCTTAAGATAAAATTATTTTTATAAATAAATAAATGCATATAAATGTAAAATAAAAAACAATATAAACTGATTATATATTAAGTATACTCTAAATAACTACAAAAATATAACTTTCTTGAAAATTAATTACTTTAATATGAGTATTACAGTATCAAAACCAACATAAATTGTAATATATATAGAATAAATTGAAATGCTTATGAATTCATAGAAAGAGTTTGTGTCTATAAACAATATTTAGATACATTAATTATCTCTTATATTGTAGGCTTTTGCAGACAAATTTGTCTGCATAATTGTATTTTTTTGGCTCTAATCTATTTTTTTAAAATGTTAAAGTATCTAAATAAAATTTGGTATAATAATATTTGAAAATAAGAATTACTTTTTTGCAATATTTATTTTTAAATTATAAGAAAAAAAAGTAGGTTGCTTATAGATTAAAAATATTGTAATTTTTTTTTTTTTTGGAATATCCCTGTTGACATTACAACTAGAAGTGCAAGTGGCACTCTTTTATTAAGGTATTACTAATAACTTAATTACTTTTTAAATATTTATATATTATTTTAAAAGATTTAGATCTAATACTAAAAGAGTTGTTTTTAAGAATTTGTATTTCTTTTGAAATGTGATTCTTAGTAAGAGAGTTTAGGAAGATAAGAGGTATATCTAAATTTTCCCATTTTACAGAAGTGTAGTGACACTATATTTCATAGATCGCATTAATATGTAACCAGGTCAGAGCAGCTAAAGCCTAAGGACATGTGTTGTTAGAGGCTTGAAATATATTTTTGAGTGAGGATGGTATAGATATTTCCTTGTTGATGTTAAGAAAACTGTATGCTTTCTTTCAAATTATTTTATTACAAAGGTATTCTAAAGCAAAGTGTTCTATAGTTTGAGTTTCTTCTGGGCACCAGGTACAGTTTCCTGTTTCTGATGATCCAATGTGTCTTAAATGATGACCTAATGGAAGTGCTCTGTGAAAGAGATGCCAAAAAATATCTTTTTTCTTATTACAAACAGACTTTAAAGAAAGCCAGGTAGGTTGAGATATCTGCAAAGGTGTTTGTGTCATAGGTAATAGAAAAAAAGATTCTCTTAAGAGTTCCAAAGTTTTTTTGACTGAGAGTTCGTTTTCTTTAATTTCTCCAATTCTAATTTCATTATTATTTTAAGGCCAGCTAGAATTAGAAGGAACTTTGCTCTTGATTCTTGCCCAGGCCTTTAAGTAGTATTTTCATTTTGAAGGCCAGGCTTTTGAGCTTGTTTTGCCAGCATTTAGAGCCTAACTAGGAGAAATGTTTCTTTTATCACTAAGAATTAACTGTATTTTATTTCTTTCATATATTGCCCACATGGTGTTGAATATAAGAAGTCTTATCCAGACTGTTATTAAGTGAGCATCTAGCATATCTTTAACCACTAGGGCTTGAAGACCTGCTAATTCTATTAATTGCTGAAAGACTGAGTATCTGGGAAGCATTCTTGATGTACCCTTGATCCAGAGAGTTATAATTCAATTAATTTCTGCTACTTGCTTTTTGTTTGGAGATAGCAGATACACTGAGTACCAGACTTTAGATAAGTAACTTAGTGATTAAAATTTTCTCTTTAAAGGAGAAGTTTCTGTTTAGAAGCTTGTTCAGAGATTTTTTTAGCTTGTTAATAGTAGTGACCCAAAGATCTTTTTTCAGTTATCCATTAGTAAGAATGTTATAGCTCAAAATGGTGATATTTTTTTGTTCTTCCAATTTGATAAATTGGTTTTCATTCATAAGCTCTACTCATCGAGCTACAGCTGTGAGAGAAACTAATTTAGTTTTAGTTCTGTTAATTTTTGCATTTGAGGCTGCCTCATAAAGGTTTAGTGCTGTTATAGTTTTGTTCTAGTCTGTAAATAACCTGATTCTTATTGTTAAATCATCTGCATAAGCAGAAGTTTTAAAAAACTGATTTCCTAGCTTTATATCCTGTAGATGTTTTTCTAGGTTTCTTATAAGAGGTTCGAAGGCTAGTATATAAAGAAGTAAGGAAAGAGGATCTCTTTGTCTAACATCTCTTTCTACTCTAAGAGGTTTAGAGATAACTCTAGCATCTATAATGTAAGCTTTTTGATTAGTAAAAAGATTATACACTAGGCTTATAAATTTGTAATCAAAGTTCATGTTCTTCAAAGTTAGTTTTAAAAAGTTATGATTGATGTGATTAAATGCTTTTTGTTAATCTATAAGAAGTAACAAATATTGTTTAAAAAGATCTGATTTGTTTCACAGAGTAGTAATAATATCAAGAGCTGTGTCAGTAATAGATCTGTTTTTAATAAATCCATGTTGGTGAGATACTATCTTTTTGCATATAAGATTAAGATGATTGGTTAGAATTTTCATAAAAATTTTGGCATCACTGTTAACTAGTGATATTGGTCTTTAGTTATTTACCTTTTCAAGATTTTTTGCTTTTTTAGATATTAGTGAAATTAAGCTTTTATACCAAAAAGTTGGCATAACTCCAGAGTTGAGAGCATGATTAAAAACACTATATAGAACTGGTATAATTACTTCTTTAGTAAGTTTATAAAACTCATATGTTAGTCTGTCTGTGCCAGAAGCCTTATTGTTTAGGAGATTTTTAATAATGTTGCTAATTTCTTCTTATGTAATTTCTTGTATAAGAGATGAGTTATGTGCAGAAGAGACTTGTGACAAGTTTTCAGTAATTTTTTTTGCTAAGCTGATATCTATATCTTCTTTTTTATAAATTTTTGCATATTTTTCTCTTATATAGCAAAGAGTGTTTTCTCTTGTTTGTTGTAAAGCTTTAGAATCTTTGATGTTCTTTAATGCAAAACTAGCTTTTCTTGTTTTATATCTGGCAAAGAAGTATTTTGTAGATTTTTTACCTTGTTTAATCCATTGAGCTTTAGAACAAGTTTGTCATTTTTTAGCAAATTGAAATAGTTCTTCTTGAAGGTCTGAGTTTAATATATTGATTTGTGAGTATAGGTAGTTGTTTTCAGGATTATGTGCTAGTCTTTCTTTTAGTTGAGTAATATTTTTGTTTAGTTTTGTAATTTTGTTTTCTGTCACTCTTGGTTTTCTAAAGGCTCTAATAATAGATCGTATTTGTACTTTGTAAAAGTTCCAATCTTCTGTATTTTCTATATCTGATATTTCATCTAATATTTCTTTTTTTTAGATCTTTCATTCTTGAAGCAGTTTTTGTCAAACCTTCAAAAGACAGCTTCTTTTTCTTTAGGGTTAAAGTTTAAAATGCACTCGACCAGCAAATGGTCTGAGTTTTCAAATTTTATACTAACTTCTGAGATTAGATGAGCATTGTTTTCATTGATGAAGATATAGTTCAAATGTGTAACCATAGTACAATTGCCTTGAGTTTTTTGGAAAAAGGTATAGAAAGGTTTTGTTTTTGCAAAGTTAGAGGAATCAAAAAAATTTTTAGTAAGGTTTTGAAGTTGTATTTTTGTAGTGTCCCAT